GTCAAGCGCCTAAGAGCAGTTCATATCGACAACCCAAATACTGCACTCAAAATGGTCTGGGACAGGCTCGATGAATGCTATGGTGCTCCAGAAGTTATCGAAAGTGCTCTCTTTAGGAAGTTGGACAGCTTTCCTAAAATAACAAACAAGGACAATTACAGGTTAAGGGATCTTGGAGATCTATTGATGGAACTACTTTCAGCAAAAGAGGATGGCTACTTGCCCGGCTTAGCATACCTGGATACCGCCCGTGGCATCAAACCCATCGTGGAAAAACTGCCATAGAACCTGCAAGAAAAATGGATCACTCAAGGCTCAAAATACAAAGAGGACTACAAGGTTGGTTATCCCCCCTTTTCATTTTTCACTTCCTTCATCTGCTATCAAGCTAAAACAAGAAACGATCCCAGCTTTGCTCTTTCTGGAAGCAGTCCTGTCACAGAAAAGCCTATCTCACGCCACACAAATTTAAGAACCCCAGTCTCAGTTCATACGACCAAAGTCGTTTCTGAGGGCCCTCAAAGCGATCCAGATCCTAGAGAGGATATATCCAAGCATTGCCCCATCCATAAAAAACCCCACCCCTTAAAGAAATGCCGTGGTTTCAGGCTAAAGACCATTGAAGAACGCAAAATGTACTTGAAAGATCAAGGCGTCTGTTTCAAATGCTGTGCATCCACATCTCATCTCGCACGAGACTGCAAAGTTGTCCTGAAATGTGATGAGTGCAACAGTGACAAGCACATCACAGCTCTTCATCCTGGTCCACCACAACTGTCAACCAAGCCCTCAAGTCCCCGAACAGGTGACGGCGGGGAGCCGGGAAAAGAGGACACTATCCCAGAACCAGTTGCAAGCCCTCTGTGCACTGAAGTTTGTGGCAATGGCGCTAGGTCAAAAGCTTGTTCCAAGATATGTCTTGTTAAAGTTTATCCTAAAGAGTGCCCACAACAAGCCATCAAAATGTATGCTATGCTCGATGACCAGAGCAACAAGTCTCTAGCCAGGTCAGAGTTCTTCAACTTATTCGGAATAGAAGTTGGCTCATACCCCTACATCCTGAAAACTTGTGCTGGCTTAGCCGCAACCTCTGGCAGGAGAGCAAATGGCTATCAGATCGAAGCAGTAAATGGTGAAGTTAGCCTTGCGCTACCAACACTGATCGAATGTGATGACTTACCAGATAATCGTGATGAAATACCGACACCTGAAGCTGCCCTCCATCACCCGCACCTCAAGAGCCTTGCCAGCAAAATCCCACCTCTTGATAATGATGCCAAGATCCTTCTTTTGCTTGGGAGAGACATTCTCCAGGTTCACAAGGTGAGGCAGCAGATCAACGGTCCTGGTGATGCACCCTTTGCTGAAAGGCTTGACCTTGGATGGGTCTTAGTAGGTGATGTGTGTTTGGGAAAGGTTCATAAGCCCATTGTCCACTGTTATAGAACGAACATATTGGAAGACGGAAGGTCATCATTGTTCAGACCTTGTACGAGCCACATCCATCTCAAGCAAACGGTCAACTCCAGTCAAGTCAAGGGACTCTCACACAGTTGCCGTAGCACTACAATGGACGACGACTCACTCGGCAACACAGTCTTTGCAAGAACAGCGGATGATGACAAGCGTGCCTTCTCCATAGAGGACGAACAGTTTCTGCAGATAATGGGTGATGAGGTTTTTCAGGACGAGTCGAATAGTTGGGTGGCTCCTCTTCCCTTCAGGCCCCTCAGACCACCTTTGCCCAACAATCGTGAGCAAGCAATGACCCGCCTCTTCTCATTACTTCGCACACTAGAGCGTAAACCAAGGATGAAGGACCAGTTCATTGCCTTCATGCACAAGATTTTCTACAACAATCACGCAGAACCAGCCCCTCCACTTCCTAAAGGTAAAGAGTGCTGGTATTTGCCGATGTTTGGGGTCTATCATCCCAGGAAACCCGACCAAATCAGAGTTGTTTTCGACTCAAGCGCACAATGCAATGGCATCTCGCTGAACAACGTGCTACTCACCGGACCAGACTTGAATAACAGTCTAATGGGAGTCCTTATTCGTTTCAGGAGAGAGCGAGTAGCAATCATGGCTGACATCGAACAGATGTTTCATTGTTTTGTCGTGAGAGAAGACCACCGAGACTACTTACGCTTTCTGTGGTATAGAGATAATGATCCCAGCAAGGACATTGTTGAATACAGGATGAGGGTTCACGTATTCGGCAACAGTCCTTCTCCAGCTGTGGCAATATACTGTCTCAGAAGAGCTGCAAAGGAAGGAGAACAGCAGTATGGGTCAGACACCAGACATTTTGTGGAACGCGAGTTCTATGTAGACGATGGTCTTGTTTCCACATCCACAGAGGAAGAGGCAATTTCTCTGCTACAGAGATCCCAAGCATCTCTCTCTGAGTCAAACCTGAGACTGCATAAGATCACGTCCAACAGCGTTGACGTCTTGAAAGCCTTCCCTGCAGGAGATCATGCTAAGGGCATTAAAGATCTTTACTTAGATGGAAGCGCAGTACCCACACAGCGAAGCCTTGGATTGAGTTGGGATGTTAAAAGGGACACATTCACCTTCCAAGTGTCAGTCAGTGACAAGCCATTCACACGACGTGGGATTCTCTCCACCATAAACAGTCTTTTTGACCCTCTCGGCTTCGTCGCTCCTGTGACCGTTCAAGGCAAGTCGTTGCTGAGAGAGTTGACCTTAGATGGAACTGACTGGGACAGTCCACTCCCTCAGGACAAATGTAAGGTTTGGGAGACATGGAAAAATTCGCTTCAAGAACTGCAACATCTTCATATCCCTCGAGCGTATACCACCACCTCCTGTTCCAATGCCAGTCGTAAAGAGGTATGCATCTTTTCAGACGCTTCAACCAAAGCAATTGGTGTGGTGGCGTACCTCAAGACAACAGATGCAAACGACCAGGTTCACGTGGGTTTCATTCTTGGAAAAGCTAAACTTGCACCACCAACTGAACCTACCATACCTAGACTGGAGCTGTGTGCGGCAGTGCTAGCCTTGGAAATTGCTGAGTTTATCGTTAAAGAGATCGATATCCAAATTGATGCAGTCACCTTCTACTGTGACAGTAAAGTGGTGCTGGGCTACATTCATAATCAGTCCAAACGTTTCTATGTGTATGTCCACAACAGGGTCCAGAGAATCCATCGGTCCACACAACCGAATCAGTGGAGGTATGTACCTACGGAGCATAACCCAGCTGACCATGCTTCTAGGTCCGTTCAAGCCTCACAGCTCACCAGAACCAACTGGTTCACGGGTCCAACATTTCTATACAAGTCACAGCCAAGCAGTGAGCAACATGAGACCTTTGAGCTTATCAACCCAGACGCAGATGTTGAGATACGACCACAAGTTACAACCTGTGTTACAAGTCAAAAGGACAAGTTGCTGGGTTGTGAGAGATTCACGAAATTCTCTTCCTGGAAGTCCATACGGAGAGGAGTTGCAACACTCATCCATGTGGTTTGTTCTTTTAAGGCAAGCAGCCGAGGAACCAACGGATGTAATGGTTGGCATTGGTGCCCTAAACCTCTCACAGCTGACGAGTTGTCCAAGGCAACTACAGTGATTCTTCTTGCTGTGCAACAAGCTTCTTTCCTTGAAGAGCTAGATGCTCTCTCCAAGGGAGCCGATGTTTCCAAGAGAAGCGCTCTAACAAAACTCAACCCGATCATAGATGCAGATGGTCTGCTAAAGGTTGGAGGCAGGTTGACATTAGCTGACTTAAGCGACAAAGAAAGGCATCCCGTCATTCTGCCAGGCAAACACCATGTATCCACGTTGCTCATCAAACACTATCATGAGCAGGTCGAGCATCAAGGTCGTACCATCACAGAAGGTGCCATTCGAGCTGCTGGCATATGGCTAGTTGGCGGCAAGCGATGCGTGAGTACTGTTCTTCACGGATGTGTCACCTGTCGAAAGCTTCGTGGGAAAAGAGAGAAACAAAAGATGTCAGACCTGCCGCAAGAGAGACTAAGCACTTCACCACCCTTTACCTACACTGGTGTGGACATTTTCGGTCCTTGGGCCGTGATAGCCAGGCGCACAAGAGGAGGTATTGCTCAGAGTAAGCGTTGGGCCGTTCTCTTCACTTGCATGAGCACACGTGCAGTCCACATAGAAGTGATAGAGTCTTTAGACACCTCTTCGTTCATCAACTCCTTGAGAAGATTCTTTGCAATCCGAGGTCCTTCTGAACACCTATACTCAGACTGTGGAACCAATTTCGTTGGTGCTTGCAAAGAGTTGGAGTTCCAAAAGGTTTTGTCAAAGTCAGAAGTTCAGAGATACACCAACAATCGCGGATGTACATGGCATTTCAATCCACCTCACTCCTCGCACATGGGCGGTGCGTGGGAACGCATGATAGGAATTGCAAGGAGAATCCTAGACTCAATGCTGATGCATACTCCCTCCTCCAGTTTGACCCACGAAGTCCTGTGCACCCTGATGGCGGAGGTGACGGCCATCATCAACTCCAGACCGCTTGTCTCTGTCTCTTCAGATCCTGACGTCCCTCAGATACTTACCCCAGCAATGCTTCTCACTCAGAAGAAGAGTGTTCCACCTCCTCCAGGGACATTCTGTCACGGCTGCCGAGGCGAGCCGTGTGGAATAAATGAGGATCCAAGCGCAGGGAGTCGTAGAGGAGTGAAGGTGATTTATTGAACACAAAAGAATGTGGACAAACAGCAAACGGGGCTCGAACTAAACTAAACTGGGAAACAACTAAACTACAGAGCACAAACCTGAATGAAAACGAGCAGAGGAGGATGACGATGAACAGCAGGGAGAAGACACGGTGGATACACAGACTGACACTGAGTAATACAGACGAACCGCAACAGGCAGGAGAACACACAGGGCTTAAATACACACACAGTAATCAGGGGATGAGAGACAGGAGGGCAACACAGCTGGGAGGAATCGAGCTGACGGGACAGGGGAAACGTAAACTGACACACTCACATGACAGGGACCTTCAAATAAAACAGGAAACTCAGAACAGAGAACCAGACAAGACATGAACTAAACAGACAGATTCACAAACAGACAGTGTGACACCATAGACAGACAGATACAGACGCAGACTCAGAGGCAGATCGAAAATAACACAGAACTTAAACAATCATCATCTAGAAAATGATAACAAACTAAAAGCGCTGGGTCACCGACCCAGGACCATGACAGTACCCCCCCCCCCCCCCCCCAAGGGCTGGCACCAGACAGCCCAGCAGAAACGAAAAAACGGACCAAAACAAAACAGAAAACAACCCGACCAGGGCGGGCGGAGGGGGCCCAGGACGGAGGGACAGAGTCCAAAAAGGCCCAGATGGTCAAGTTCAGGAGGCCGACCATGCGAATGGCAACGGGGCAGGTCCGGATGCCGGCCACGCAGTAGGCAGTGGCGTGGAAACAGTTCTGGGGGCCGACCGTGCGGACGGCAACGGCGGCGTGGAAACAGTTCTGGGGGCCGACCGTGCGGACGGCAACGGCGGCGTGGAAACAAGTCCGGAGGCCGGCCATGCGGAAGGCAGTGGCGGCGTTCAGGAGGGCGTCCACGGTGGCGGAGATGCCCAACAAGCGGCCTGGCAGATGACCGACGATGTGGAGGTGGTAGTAGGGGACCTGAAGGCTGCGTGGCCCCTGCAGCCCCAGGCGAGGCGCAAGCTGAGGCTGGACCAGACGAGGCGGAAGCTGAGGCTGGACCAGACAAGGCGGAAGCTGAGGCTGGACCAGGCGAGGCGGAAGCTGGACCAGGCGAGGCGGAAGCTGGACCAGGCGAAGAGGCTGATGAGGATGCTGAAGCTGGACCAGGCGAAGCAGCTGATGAGGATGCTGAAGCTGGACCAGGCGAAGCAGCTGATGAGGATGCTGAAGCTGGACCAGGCGAAGCAGCTGATGAGGATGCTGAAGCTGGACCAGGCGAAGCAGCTGATGAGGATGCTGAAGCTGGACCAGGCGAAGCAGCTGATGAGGATGCTGAAGCTGGACCAGGCGAAGCAGCTGAAGCTGAAGAGGAGGCCACTGCAGGTGATGCGGGAGCTGGACCAGACGAGGATGAAGACACGGAGGCTGGACCAGGCGAGGATGAAGACACGGAGGCTGGACCAGGCGAGGATGAAGACACGGAGGCTGGACCAGGCGAGGATGAAGACACGGAGGCTGGACCAGGCGAGGATGTAGCAGTGGCTGGACCAGGTGAAGCGGATGAAGCCGAAGCATGTGCTGGACCAGGCGACGCTGAGGATGCTGAATCCGGACCAGGCGACGGCGTGGAGGATGCAGCAGAGGCCGGGCCAGGCAACGGCGTGGAGGATGCAGACGGAGGCGCTGCAGCAGGTGGCGGCATGGATGAAACTGCTGCTGCAAGCGTGGATGAGGCTGCTGGTGGAGCAGCTGGTGGCTGGATGGGCTCCTCGGGCCCCCCAGCTGACGAGGAAGGAGGCTGGACGGGCTCCTCGGGCCCCCCAGCTGACGAGGAAGGAGGCTGGACGGGCTCCTCGGGCCCCCCAGCTGACGAGGCAGGAGGCTGGACGGGCTCCTCGGGCCCCCCAGCAAAAACAGTCTCAGAACCAGTGGGCACTGGAGCCCCTGGCACACACAGAACAGAACCAGCAGGTGCGGAGACCTCTGGCAGGAACACAACAGAACCAGCAGGTGCGGAGACCTCTGGCAGGAACGCAACAGAACCAGCAGGCACACGGGCCTCTGGCAGGAACGCAACAGAACCAGCAGGCACACGGGCCTCTGGCAGGAACGCAACAGAACCAGCAGGCACACGGGCCTCTGGCAGGAACGCAACAGAACCAGCAGGCACACGGGCCTCTGGCAGGAACGCAACAGGACCAGCAGGCACACGGGCCTCTGGCAAACACATAGCGGCCTGCAGCTGCGCAGAGCATTGACCCTGCTCAGGCAGCGACAGCCGGGTGCAGTCCTCAGCTGGCTTCTTAAACTCCAGGGGTCCAGAGTCTGATGGGGGCTGAAACCCAGCCTCTGGGGAGGCCCTGGAGTGCATCTCAGTCTGTTACGACCCGGCTCTGCTAGGCGGCAGCGGACGTAACATAAACGAGCCCAGAGACCAAGGAGTTAGATAGGAGGACAAACATAAGGTTTATTAACACAACTGAAATCCGTTAGTGAAACAACACACTAGGCAGCAGAGTAACTTTAAACAAACACCACGATTAATAACACCAGTAGAGCACTGCTCTACTAAACGTCTCGCAGGAGGCAACACAAAACAAAGGCAAAAGGGAGGGACTCTCTGTACAGTCTGTTCAAATCAACAAGTCCCTCGACGAATGAAGACTCCTCGAAAATGGAATCCCGCAGTGATGTGCCCAGTCACTTTACTGTGTCGGCTACAACAGCAGGTCACGTGTCATAAACTTCTATGTTAAAATTTTCACTTCACAGCAGAAAAAAGTTTGTCGTGTGCTACAAAAAATGGGTTTGGTCTCTATAGGTAATTTCTGGCAACAACCAACATCATCATAATAACAATTATATTCATAATAAAAGTGTGATGGTCCGTAGTCGGGTGACTCCAGGTTTCGGTTTTTGTTTATTCAATGTTCTGGGTTTTTCGTGATTTGGTTTTTTGTATTTTCTGTTCCTTAGTTATTCTTTAGCACTGCTGTGATTTCCTTTAGGTTTTGTCTCTGTGCCTCCTTTGTGTTCCTTCTGTTGTGTCTTATTTTCCTGGTTCGATGTTTGTGTTATTTCCTGTTTTACTTTGACAGTCCCATGTCCAATGTCAGTGTGTCTAATTTTGCTTCCCTTCTCTTGTCATGTCTAATTAATCCCAGCTGTGTTTCCCTCCTACATCCCATTCCCTCATTATTCCCTCATATATTTAAACTCTGTGTGTTCCTTTGCCTTTTGTCCTGTTGTACCTCCTCATGTGTGTAAGTCTCCCTGTGTTTCTGGTTTGGAGTTTTAGTTCTAGTTTTCTAGAACTAAAACTTTTCTAGTTTTATCTCTAGAGTCCTGTGTTCACACCCACTTCCTGCCTGCCTCTGCCTCACATGACAAAAAGTTGTCATTATTAATTTTTTTCTTTCATTTCTGCTGAATTGTTTCTCCTTCCTCCCTCAGTTGTTACATGAAAAATCTCTTTCTCAATAATCGTTGCCACATTTATATCAACAAAGCTAAATAAAAGAAACTTTTTCTATTTAATGCAACACATTTCAAAAACTCCAGAAATGTAGTTAAATCCACAGTTTTAGCAGATAAATGTGCAGCACATAGTGATGTGAGCACCATGCGCCAGCTTTATTTACTGCACGCTCTTGTTCAAGGAACAAGGAAGTCATGTTTTTGTGTTGTTTTCCACCCATAACCTGAAACCCCTGTACCAATCAATAAATATATGTACTATATTTTATATTTATTATTAGACTTCTTACTGTATAAGTTGTATTTTTGTCTTCCAGAAATCATAAAATCAGTTTCAACTTGATGTGTTTTCTGATGTTGTTAAAACTTACAACATGGAGATAAATGAACAACGATTCGATTAAACCACATTTTTTACATGAATACACAACTCTTAATTAGTCTGAATTACAAGCTGAATCAAACATGAAAGACTTACCTGTTAGTGAAGAACAAAAACTTAAACAACTCAGTTTGAAAAGCAAACAAGTCTGATCAAGTAAGCGGTACACTGGAAAGAGGAAACCAAGAGCTGGCCAAACCTGTTACCAATAGCACCTCCTCCTTATGCTCTACATGGTAAGAAAGGTGAGCATAAAAATATGATGTATAAGGTAACACCTGCAGAAAAGGTAGCAGTGACATGAGAGGAGCCACAAGTTTATGTTCAGTTCATGTCAAGAGTTAAAGAAATATTTTCAGCAAACATGCCGAACTTGAACTTCAAACATTCATCAAATAAACTTGATCAGCAACTTTATAATAACTATTTTTGTTATATTCCCTCTATGGTGTCAGTACACTATTAGGGCTTATACAGAGTCAGACTGATACACACAGTAGCTTGTTTACATGTTGACTTCTTCTCTGTATTAACATAACACAGAAGTTACACACACACACACACACACATAACTGGGCATGGTGCCCCCTACTGTTGATAGCTTGTACAGCATACCATAAACCTTGGTTCATACATAATATCTCAAACCCAAAATACAGGCAGTTGACTGGTGATGAGCGTGATGTTTATTTACAGAAGTGGCAGTGACAGAACAGGCAGTGAGGAATGACAGATGACTGGAGAAACCTAAACTGGGAGAACTAAATGACAAACCTGAGAGCATTAAAAACAGGGTGCGGGCCAGAGAGACGCAGACAGAGGAACTGAACACAGACGAACCAGCAACAGGCAGGAGAACACACAGGACTTAAATACACACAGCAGTAATCAGGGGATGAGAGACAGGAGGGCAACACACCTGGGAGGAATCAGAGCTGACGGGACAGGGGAAACGTAAAGTGAACACACTCACATGACACGGGGACCTTCAGAATAAAACCGGAAACTCAGACACAGAGAACCAGACAAGACACTGAACTAAACAGACAGATTCACAAACAGACAGTGTGACACCATAGACAGACAGAACACAGAAGTGGGACCAGGGCAGGCACAGAACAGAAACCTAACAAATGGCAAATTATAACAGAATACATACTCAGAATAAACAAAAGCATAAAGAAACACAAAACACTGAGTCGGCAGACTCAGGACCATGACAATGTGACCGTGGCACCACCCACAGAAACATTTACCCTAACCAAAGTAGTACTCTTTTTTTTTTCTTCCTTTTCTTTTTTTTATTACAAAATTCATGAAATCTGGAACTTTGTTGCTTCCTGTATGAATTTTCTTTTTTAGTTGAGAATAATGTCTCTGAACCCAACATTCTCACAGAACTACTTCAATACGCTCACCCATCACGATAACGAGCGGGTGGCTTAGTAACTCTCGCTGGGTAATGTCTTACACTCTCTGTAACCTGTGTACAGTCAGACAGTGGTGGTTTGACAGACTGGGGTGTTTCTGGAGGTCTTGTGGTCCCCAGAACTTGTTCAACAGCCTCTCCCTGCAGAGATGTACAAGGGTGAAGCATGGTGTCACTACCACTCTGGGCTGGTGACATTTGAGAGCTTGTCAGAGGATCCACTGCGACCTGCTGAGATACTGGCTCGGGTCACGTCACCATCTGATCCACATGACGTTTCCACACTCCTTGTGCTCCCACATTCACCTTGTACACTGGCCCAGTCTTCTCCAGTACGACACCGTGCGTCCACTTGTCCTCTCCCTTCCTATAGTCACACACCAGGACAGGCTCGCCAATAGTGAACCGTCTGTCCCTGGAGTGTTGCTGTCGGCATTGTTGTTGAGCATCTTGTGACCGACGCACTGCTCCGGCCACACTGGGCTTCAGAAAATCCAGCCGAGAGCGCAGCTTGCGTCCAATGAACAAGATAACTGGCGTTGCATGGGGAGTGTTGCGATATGTCAAGAGGAACGTGTCAAGGTGCTGCTGCACAGGTGCTGTACCCCTGGAAGCTTTCAATGCATGCTTGAATGTCTGCACAAAACGCTGAGCCAAACCATTAGTGGCAGGATGGTATGGCACGGAGCGGATGTGTTTGACTCCATTAGCTTTCAGGAACACCCTGAATTCCTCAGAACAGAACTGCGGTCCATTATCACTCACCAGGACGTGAGGGATGCCATGGCGACTACACAACTAATCGCCAATTTATGTTATATTCCCTCTATGGAGTCAATACACTAGTAGGGCTTATACAGAGTCAGACTGATACACACGGTAGCTTGTTTACATGTTGACTTCTTCTCTGTATTAACATAACACAGAAGTTACACACACACACACACACATACACATAACTGGGTGTGGTGCCCCCTACTGGCGATAGCTTGTACAGCACACCATAAATCTTGGTTCATACATAACAATTTTATAACAATTAATTAATTGGGACAATCAGTCAAACATAATTAAAAGAATCACCTGTTAACAAACTTGGTGCGTTTGCTGCACAGTTTGGAAAAAGCAAACAGGAAAGAAATACAACAGCGCTCTCTGGTGGTCACTGCGAGACTCTTACTACACCTTTATTGTACAATTACAAGAACAAGGTTATGAGCCGTGTCCACTTCTCCACAGGCAACTAGTGATGGGAATAACAGCGTTAGAAGTAACGATGTTACTAACCGCGTTACTTTTTTCAGTAAGGAGAATGCTGTAGACTCTCGCTCACGCTTGCCTGGGATAAAGTAGATAAGAGGGGACCATCTCTAGTGGAAAGTTACTGAGACACTGTTGTTTAGACTAGAATGAGAGAGCTTCTGTAATAAAACTGTTAGGGGCACACCACCATTTTGAGATCCGTGGCACCGTGTCATGCAGGACGCATCTCCCTTCTAGTAATTGTGTAAGAAAATAAAGTGTGAAATGGTGTACTGAGCCGGTCTTCCATTGGATGCCTTTAAGAAATCAAAAGAACTCAGTGAAGTGTTGATATTTAACAGTAACTAATTACTATCTCTATCGTTACAATGTCGTTACCGTTACCAACAAGAAAATGCGGGGCGGTCACGTTACTATTTTTCAGCAAACAGACGGTTAACCTGAGTAGCGAAAGACCGCGAGGGTTTGAAAACGATGTGCCGGGAGTTTGCTCTTCTCGTCGGCTCAGATATTTGAAGGAGGGGCACTGAAATTCGGGATTCCCCCAGAAAAATCGGGAGTGTTGGTATGTATGAGTGGAAGTCACTGAGTGACTGCTGTTCACTGGAGGAAATTTCTTCAACGCTGTTCAACACAATGTGGGTGCATATATTGTATAGGGCTATCTACTGCTACACATATCATGTACAGAATTATGCTGTGATATCTACACCAACATTTTCGCAACAGGTCCATTAAGCCCTGTAAGTTGTGAGGTGTGGCTTCCATGAATTGGAATTATTTGGCCCGTAAATCCCACAGATGCTCGACTGGTTTGAGA